TCCCTTTTTGCCTTCTCCTTCCACAGAAGAAATAAGCTTGAGGGGGAGGGGAAATATCAAGACCTCTGATCCAGTCTGTTTTCAAACTGGTAGACAGTCGCAGCTCCGACTTCTCATGTCGGGAAACAGTCTGCACTGCTGTTGGTCCACGGGAAGCAGTAGTTCCTTGTGGGGCTGCACAGGGCGGCCCGTTCCACCTCTTTGGCTGTGTCATTAGTGTTTCTGCGTGGACAAGGAGAAAAATACATGCCCGCTTCTTTCCTTCTCCTTCGGGGGCTGGGTGAGCTGCAGGCGTGTGGCGGGGCCCCTGACCAAGGTCTTCCTCGGTGGGACTAAGAGCACCAGCATGTGACAGAGTTGGTGGCTCTGGACTTAATAGTGTGTGCCGCTTCGGCTGGCAGCGGGTAACCTGGTGGCTTTCTGCCTCCGTCTCCGCTCTGCGTGCAGCGATGCTGGAGGCAGCTGCGTAGGCGCTCAGGGCTTGTGCCCAAGAACGCGTTTTCTTCGCAGCGGTCCCACAGCGATGCCCAGGTGTCCGGTGTCCGCGACGCCAGCGGGAGTGAAGTGGAACAGATACGGCCCCTGGTGGCAGGGGATTGCTCATCCTGAGCAGTGCTGAGTGACAGCCGGAGCATCTTTCCGCACCGCTCTCCGCTAGCTGAGTAGTGACAGCTTCCTGCGCAAAGCCGCGGGCTGCCGACATTAGAGCTTGTAGGCTTCTCTGCAGGTGCTTGGGGAGCAGCTTCTTTCCCGCAAAGGCCAGTTGCAAACTGCTCGGGAAGGGTGAACTGCAAAGGTTGTTGGTGAAGCGGCATGGCCCAGCGACGGGAAGGTGGGGGGGGGCTGCTTGCGATGGTCTGAGCATCGATCCCGAGGTGGCCAGGTGGGCTGGCTGCTTGGGGGGAAGCAGGTAGCAAGGTCTTTGCAATGCTGGTGTCTACGGCATTTCTAAAAGTGCTAGAGCTGCCTGCAGCTTGAAAGTCGTGGGATGGGATGTTCCAGCTGGGGTGTCTTGGAGTAAGTGGTGTGCCCGGGTTCACTGCTTTGAAGTGGGTGCACGCAAAACAAGGCTAGGCAAAGCACGCATACCAGAGCAAAAGGGCCTGTCCTTGGTGCGGTTGGGTGGAAGGGGTAAGTGGGGACACTGACTGGAGAGAGGTGGGTTGCAAGTGGGAGCCTCGGCTCTCATGCGGTTGAAAAGAGTGAACGGCTCCTGGGTTTTTTTTTGAGAAAGCTGCCTTTGCCCTGGCCTGCAAGGCAGCAAAGCAAGGCTGGGTGCTCCTAGCCTGAGACTGGCCCGTGATGGAGGCTGGTAATGAAAAAGCTGATGAGAAGCCCAGAAGTCAGTATTATTTGAACTTCAATGCGTTGCCTTTGCTAGCTTCGCAGGGCTAAACCAAGCACATTGGGAAAGGCAGCTCTGGGAGGAGGCCCCCTCCAGGGAACCTCCGGGCCCTGCTGGTCGGCGTTTCTCCCACGGACCTCCATGCAGCTGGCAGCAGTTCCTTCCCCGGCCTTTCATCTCTGGGAAACGCTGAGTAATCTGTGCTCCCTGAGGAGCTTTGAACCCTGTTGACCCCAGCTCTCCGCGCAGTATCCTCGCGGGCCAGGGAATCCCCTTTAACCCGTTGGCTGTGGCCGGCATCCGGGGAGATAGTTTGGTGACGTGCCGAAACGGCTGCGGGTGGAAGCTGGGCTTGGAAGTGCTCCTTGTCCTAGGGCTCAGCCCCTCCGACCTGCATCTCTTTGGTGTTGTCTTCACCTCGGGGCCTGCCCATAGCGTTCCCCTGGTGGGATGGGGGATGCTGCCATGATGTTTCCTGGCCATGACACTTTCTGGCCAAATCCCAGCTCGAGCTTGGTTATTCACCCCCTGGCAGCCCTTCCGGCAAGGACAGCTTTCCAGGCCTGGCCTTGCAGATGCCACTTCCGACGGGTTCAGCAAAAAACGGGTTCCCGCGGCTGCTGTAGCTGCAGAGATGCCAGGGAGCGAGCTGGCGTGATTAAAACTAGCAGGGCGGTCGCCGATCCTCGTGCCTGAGAATGTAACCTTCTCTGAGGCTATGCCCTGCTGCTGCAGATTTGCAAACAGGGGGGCTCCCAGAGCCCTCGCGGAGCCTGGGAGCACTTATCCCTTCCTTCCTGAGGGGCTCACATCCAAACTGGTGACTCCAGTTTGGATTGATCCTGGCCTCTGGCCGCCTGGGGAAGCAGGCGGCATCCCTGCTGTCTGTCTCGAGGCCTGGCCGTCAGAGCCCTCTGCCTGTCGTGACGTAGTCCAGCCACCCTTCATGCAAACCTCGCTGCTCTGTAAAGTTAATAAACTTGTCACTTGAGCTCTACCCGCCTGCACCAGCCAAGCCATCATCTAAATTTGGGTGATTATGTTCACCCAGGCCAAGTATCAAGTTATCTGGATCACATGTGCTCCCAGCTGCTATTTAACTCTGAAGCCTCGGGGAGACGCAGCACTTCACTGCCACTGATGAAAGGCTGATGAAGCCAGCTGTTTGTTTTTTGTATAATTACTATTTTTATTATAACTATCTTTTGCACTAGTGATTTTTGTTGTTTTTTTTTTTCCAAGTTTTTGTCCTGCCAGGTTCCTTATCTCCACAGCCTGTGCCGCTCTCCCAGCGAAGAGCAGCGTAGCGCCTGGTTTGATTGCTAAATCTGACCACAATGTTTCTGGTTCTTTCAGCGACCACAGAATTAAGGGACTTCTTTGCCAAAGCCCGAAGTGGTTCAGTTCGGCTCATCAAAGTCATCATTGAGGATGGTAAGTCCTGTTTTTCAGTGCTTTGATTTATGCTGTATGTTTCTCTGTTTCATGTTTCCTCCTTTCCATTTTGCGGCTGTAGCCGAATGTGGCTTCGTGGAAGAGGGCTTGTGTTTCTGGAGGCCCCGGGGAAAGTCCTGCTGGGGGTTTCTGGAACACAGCAGCCAGGACAGACGAGCGGGTGCAGAGCAGGGCGGGACATGGAGGAAGTGCTACAAGAGCAAAATCGGGGTTGTTTTCGATCCTTGCTGGGGGATGTGGTGCTGGTGAGCAGCTTTCAGCAGGCAGAGCCCTGAAGCCTCTGCTGGGGGACTCGGGCAGGCTGCCCATGCTGGGCAGTGACTTTGCCGTTGGAGCAGCTGTGCACGATGCTGGTGTCTGCAGTCATGAGCTGAGATAGGTGCTGGGCTCTGGGTGGCTTTTACTGCCTCTAAATTGAAGTGCCCTGTTGCAGGGAGCCCGGCAATAGGCTGCCGTGGTGACAGGCACTATAGAAACACGTTTGGAGTGGGCGGCAGCCTCGCAAAGCAACAGGGGCGTTCAGAGATGGCAGCGCGCAGAGCGGCTTGTGCTCCTTTCAGAGAAGATGAGGGCAGAGCGCCCGAGCGTTCCCCGTTGAGGAGCTAAGCCGCAGGAGCGATGCACGACCTATTCCACAGCTGTCCCGTCCTCCCTGGAAGAGGGATCCCGGATTAGGCATATGCTCTGTCCTTCCCTGCGTGCAGGCAGAGATGGGCAGGAGGAAGCGCCTTGGCCCAGCACGTCTGCTGCCCAAAGCGTGGCTGAGCTCTCCACGCTTGGCTGTGCTCGCAGCTTCTCACCGGCTCTTTGAGGCAGCCATGGGCGATATGGCCATTAAACCCACCCAACTGCAGCACCCGGTTCTTTCTGCTGTCTTTGCACTGGGGGCTACGTGTAGCTCAATTTGCAGGCTGTGGGCTGGTGCAGGCCTGCTTGCGTTTGCCCTGTTGAAAGGTGACTTTGAGTCGCCTCTATATTTATCGAAGAAGCAAATGGAACGCAGCACTGATTTAGCGTCTCGACGAGGAACCCGCGTGGTGTAGATTTTTCCATAACCTCAGTCTCGTACAGTTGCATGAATAATTTGTTTCTCATGTGAATGCCGATGTTAGTGCCCTGCCAGGCTGCTGTCACTGCCCCCATCAGGTGGGGAGTCCAGGCACTGGTAAGTGAAAAGCGGTTTGCTCCAGCCGTGCTGGAGCTCAGCAGCCAAACTCCCTTCCTCTGGCGCTTCGGGAGCGCTGCCACTCTGGATCACGGGAGGGTGTTCAGCTTGGCACTGCCAGGGCTTGTGGATGTGTCTAAACCCCAGTGTGTTGCAGGGCAGAGATGATCCCTCTCCTCTGCTCTAGCACGAAGGAGGCCTGGTCTGGCAGACAGTCCTAGAATAAAGGCAAGGGTACCCTTGCACTGCAGCTCTGTGAACGCAAAGGAGCAAACATTGACGGAGACGTGTAATCTGTGCTTCAGCCCCCGGCACTGAATGCAGCTGCAGGAGCTGGGGTGAAAGTTGTCTCAAAGGGCCCATTTTAACCTTCAGAGTGGTCTAGGATTTAAGCTGCATAAAGCCCCTTTTGGAAGAGCAACGTAGCCCTGAATTTGGAGGAGCTCTTTACAATGATTTTGCTCGTTTAGCTCCTTTTTCTTTTGAAAAGAGGGAGTCAGGCTTCTGTTAGGATAAATCATGAAGGCTCAGCCTATAACTGGGGTGCTAGGACTTGCACCACTGACTTTAGATAGCAGCTAGTGCTACAGCAAGAGAGACTCTTTACCATCAATGGAAACCATATTCCACCATCCCTGCTCGGGCTGAATGGGATATATTTATCTGTGCGATGTGTCATTGTCAGCAGCTGCTTTATAGACCAGCTGCATTTGGCAGTGTTTTGCGTGTCTGGGTCCAGCTCTCCCTGTCCCCAGCTACTGCTGCCTCCTTCTCCCCGTCCTGGACCGGCAACTGCCACCCTGGCTGCTCCCAGCCCTGCAGGATGTGTCCGAACACTCCCTGCGGGTCCTATCCAGAATTGTTTGGGTGTCTCTGCTCTCATCACGCAGAGGTGCGGAAATGCCAGGGCTCCTCTGCCCAGCGCTGGCTCCTGCTCCCGCCGTGCCACCGCTCTCCCCCTGTAGCAGGAGGAGAAGTGTCATGCGGGAATGAGCCCCCAGGCAGATGTCGCAGCTGGACAGACAGTCTGGAGCATGCTGACGCTGGAAGGGAGATACCCTGAGCCGGCCAGGAGGGCTTCCCAGCTGCCGTGCCTCTGGAGGGGATGGAGAAGCAGAGCCTCCAGCCCTGCCGAATGGGTTGTGGAGGGGACTTCTGCCCTACGGGGTATCTGCCTTGGGGCAGGGCTGTGGGGGACAAGGTGCTTGGCCAGCGGGTCAGGAGGGAGCGCAGGCAGACTGGGGCAAGGAACAAGCGTGCTGCGCAAGCCGGAGCAGTGGCACTCGCCTAGAAACGCCTTGGGCTGTCTGTAACCTCCTTTGGAGGAAGCTTTTGCACAGGTTTACGGCCTGCGTACAGTCCCAAATTCTACCGCAGTGCATGTCAGAGCGGGCAGCTGTATGTGGAAGGAGAGGAATGCATGTTCTGGCAGATGCTCTGGGCATCCCCTGCGCGTCCCCAGGACAACAGCTGTGGCCAAGCAACGCTTCTAAAGCAGGCTCTTTACGCCGACGTTGGCCTCGAGGTCTGGCTGCGGACTGACGCTGCTGAGAGAAGCTGAAGTCTGGTGGAGACGACGCCTGGAGAACAGCCGTGCTGCGGTGTCCGTTGACCTGCCTGTCTCTTCCCCTGTCTGCTGCTTCCTGCCAGCCTCTGCTCCGGCGTGAGCCGGGGACAAGCGGCTTCCCAGCTGGGAGCTGCCACGCAAGGGAGCGAGCAGACCTGCAACGAGCTGCTGGTGCTCATTAAGTCACCCGGCAAAGCTGGATGCTGCTCTGAGGCTCTGCACGGGCTCAAGCAAGCCCTTGTGGGCTGTTGTGCACCACAGATAACGCTGCAGAAGTCTCTTCCCTGCTGCTCTATAGGTACTGTGCTGCTTGGAGGGTTTCGTCTCGCTTGAACAGCGAGAAGGTTCCCCATTCGGGGGAGATGGGGGGTGAAGGGAGCAGGGAGCTGGCCTTCTCCTGCCTCAGTGTGCTCCCGAGTCCTGCACCGTCCCCCGGCACGCGGGAGGCCAGCGCTGCCTTTTACGGGCATTAGGAACAAGGGAGCTGGCACGCAGCTGAGCGTCGGGCACAGCTTGAGGGCCAGAAACCCTCCCAGCTGCCCTCGTGTTTCTCCGTGAGGGGCAGCGGGGCTGTTGGGGCAGAGAGGAAGTGTTTCCTTTCATGCAGGGTTATGCCTCCGGGCTTGGCAGAGCCCGAAGGCTCGAACGCAGCTTGGTTCTGCTGCCACCCGCTCCCCCATGGGTCTGCTCCGATCTTGAGCGTTTTCCAGCAGCAGAGCTCTGTGGAAATGAAGCACATCAATACTGGATGCGAGTTGCTTGTTTCTTCTGTTTTACTGATGCTCTTGCACGCAGAACCGTCCTTGCGTCTTCAGACTGCAGCAGAAATAGCTGGTGACAGTCTCCATCGCTAAAGACCACGGCTTGGTGAAGGGGGTCCCCTTTTCTGATGCTTGCTGGACTGAGGGAAACACCAGCCGTCCCAGGTCGTGCCTGGGAAGATGGTGCAATGCCTTTTGCTCTGCTCTCTGGACTCAGGAGGAAAACTTGCCCCGGGTGGAGGCTGGTAATTGAGTTGAACTGCAAAGAGGCTGGAGGAGGAAGCACGCTAAGAAGCAAGAAAAGCTAAGGAGCGATGCTGGAGATGTCCCTAAGGAGGGCAAACCCCGGGGGGTGGCGGGTCCTTGGCTTTTGATCCATGTTGCTCCCTGTCTTCAAAGGGAGCAGAGGTGCTCTCTGCAAGCTGATGGTGCCTGCTCAGGCCTCCTGTCTGTGCCGGCTTTGAAGAGAGCCGATACAGTTCAGGAAACCCTGCTGTCTCTGAAAAGAGAAGTCTGATCTTTTTTGAGTTTGTTTCAAAATGACTTGTGTGTCTGCAGAATGTGAGTCTTGAGATCAGACATAGGTAATCCTTGAAGCAATTTGGCTCCTGCTTGCCGGACTTGTTGCAGGGCTGGTGTTGGTGCCTGGGCTGGCCCAGCATGGCATCTGGGGAGTGACAGAAGTAGGTCCTCCAGCCTAGGGAAAATGCAGGAGCTGCAGGTTGCTGGCAGCACTGCTGAAGTCTGGTGCGTTCAGGCACAGCCTTGGAGCCTGACTTGAAGGCAGCCTGGGAATTGTGACCTGGAGTAGTGGATCAGCACTGCTTTGGAGTAGGAATACGAGGGGGGTCACCTTGTGCATAGGATGTTGGCTCACTTAGCAAATGAGGACGCCTGCAAGCTGCTGGTGGGTTTGGCCAGGAGAAATTCACTGCGGTCTCTGTGTGAGCACAGGTCTTGGACCAAAGAGTATTTTTCCATGGCTGCTTCATGGTAGTGGAGGTAGTGGAGTCTCCTTCCCTGGAGATATTCAAAACCCGTCTGGATGTGATCCTGGGCAATATGCTCTAGAGGTCCCTGCTTGAGCAGGGAGGTTGGACTAGATGATCTCCAGAGGTCCCATCCAACCTAAACCATTCTGTGATTCTATGTGTTCTAGGAATACCTCGACTGTTTATAACTTTCTTCCTCTTTCTCCAAACGGGTAGTTCTGTTGAAGATAAAGTATTTTTGCGCTGTTCTTGTGCCGAAAGTGCAGGCTGGGGATGTCTGTGAACCATACACATATGGGTAGTACCTCTCTGGGGCAGAACTGGCAGAAGAGCTCTAAGCAAGCTGCTTGTTGTCTTGAAGCTTGAAGCCTGTTCTGTTTTTGGTCCACGTTCCCCCTGCCCAGTGTGCGGGAAGACCCTCAGGTTTTATGGTGTCCTGCCATCAAGATGCAGGCTTATGTGTGCAACAAGCGCAAAAACCTCACTGCTCTCCTTTGGGCACCTAGAAATCTTCTGCTGTTCCTGTCGTCTTAGAGTTCCTTGCAAGAGGATTTAGAGTGGAGAAAGCTGGACCAAGCTCATGCTGGGGCAAGCTGTTGTGGTAGAAGTTAGCCCTGAGACAGGGAAGATAAGATACCTGTGGATTGTCCATTTGGAGCTGCTCTGATTTTTGATTTTTTTTGTTGGTTTTTTTTTGTGCGCTTTACCTGTAACAGCCCTTGCTGGTACTATGTGTCCTTCATGAGCAAATGATTGCAGGTTTTAGCATGTGGTAGTAGATGCCATCGTAGGGCCGTGCTGAGGAGGGAAGGCTTCCTCTGCTCTCTGAAGTCTGATGGTACCAGAGGGCAGGAGTAATTTATCCCAAATGTGGAGTGACAGACGCTTTATTCCTCTGTTTGACTTGACTGAAAAATATTTTCTACCCTATGTTGCATGAGAGAGAAGCAGTTTGGTGATAAGGCCAGGCACAAAAATAGTTATCTGCCTATTCGATGCCCTGTCTGACCCCTCTGCTGAAAGTGTCCGTCGTCCGTCAGCGACGCTCTCTGTCTTGCAGCGGGGGCTGTGACCTCCACGTGTGCCCTGGAGGAGCCCTGAGCCTGCACGCCCCCTCTCTCGAGGGGCCCCTTTCCTAACGTCCACGTGCAAGAGGACATGTCGCGTTGGATACTTGCTCGGTTTTGGGACCGGACGCTGAAGTCGGAGGTGCCTCCCCGAGCCATCCGGCTCCCCTCCCGCTGCAGCTTCCCGGCCGTAGCGGTGTAAGGATCAGCCTGGCGTCTTCACCCTCCTGGGACTGGCGTGGGGACGCGGCAGCTCTCGCGGTGGCCTTTGGAAGGGAGGTGGGTTGCAGCTGCTGAGCTGCAAGGGTTGGGAGAGAGCTGCTTAGCTGGAGAAGCAGCACCGAAGAGTCCCCCGCAAACGGTGGCGCTGGGCTCGCGTGCTCGGCTTGGTCCACCGTTCATCGTGGCGGTCGCCTGGTGACTGCGGGCTGCTGGCTGTGGTTGGGTTGGGGCGTTTTGAATTGCTGCGAGGTCACATCCTGCCAGCAGCTATTCAGGGGGGTGTTTTCTAGCTGGAATATTATAAGAAACCCTAGATCAGTTTTCCTTTCCCTCGCTCTGTTCTCCTTAAACACCCAGTAATAACCCCTGGAGCGAGCGCAGGTTTGTCCCGGGCTCTGGGGCAGCAGGTCTGGGCCACCGCTGAGGGCCCTGGGAGACCCCTGCCTGAAACATCTTGTCTTAGCCACCCTGGCAAGGGTTTCTCTGAATTTCTCCGCTCTCCGTTCCCCGATCGGCTTGCCGGAGGTTCGTGTTTCTTCTGAGCGCCCCCGTGCTCGTCTTGCAAGGGGGGTCAACATACGTCGGGAGTTGGTTTCTTCTAGGC